GAGTTAGGTGCTTCACCACTGCGTGGGTGATTCACCAGAATTGGATCTGGAGCCACTAATTTCATATCTAAGGTCTTGTTTGGATTTACCCAACTAACTATTAGCTATGTTAGCTAGCCAGCTAGGAGAAACCAATGCCCTATTTGGATTTACCCAGCTAACTATTAGCTGTGTTAGTTAGGAGACGCCAGATAATATATAGCTAAGTGGTAAGTAAGACACTAGCTGAGCTTGTTAGCTGAGGATCAAAACAAGCCCTTAACTAATAATTAGCAGCTAACTATTAGTTCTAGGATCCAAACAAGCTCTAGGAATACTAGGAGGTAGAGTCATCAATGGAGTTTCCACTTTAGAGGTTTCGCGTGTGTGTTAAGTGCCAAGTTAGTAAGTTGTGGCTTACGGGGTGATTGTTGGCGGCAATGGCGATTGTGTCAGCATCGGTATGACATTAGGGCCCCGTTCGCTGGTCTGAAACTTGGCTGAAAAACACTGTTCCGGCTGAATTGTTGTGGGAGAAAAACACTGTTCGACCGGGTTTGGTGAACAGTAAGATTGAGAGGGGGAGCAGTCGGCTGGCTGGTCTTTCCAGACCAGCGAACGACCCTAGGTGGTGAAAAAAATCTTGAAAGTGGGTCTTTTTTAGTTTTAGGAGTAATTTATTAAAAACTATTGGTGACTAAGTTATTTTTTCTTTCTAATATTTATTGTAAACATTATAAAACTAAATTTTAGATTATTTTTTGGTATCTTTGGAGGTACACCCATAAGTGCAGAGTAACGGATGGACAAAACGAAACGTTACAGTTACAATAATACATGAACAGAAGGCGTGCGTCAGAGAAGACTAATAATACAACTCATTGTTGGATGTACGTAAATTTATAGTCCACCTATTAGCTCACTCATATAATTAATGAGTTCATCTATCACCCCTTTGTTTGTCTTATAAAATTTATTAGTTTCCACTTAAGAGGTTCCGGGTGTGTGTTAAGTGCCAAGTTGGTTGGTTGTGGCTGGTGGGGTGATTGTTGGCAGTAATGGCTATCGTGTCAACGTCGATATGACATTAGGTGGTGACAGAATCTTGGAAGTGGTCTTTTTTTAGTTTTAGGAGTAAACTATTATAAACTTTTAGTGACTAAGTTTTTTTCCTAATATTTATTGTAATAAACATTATAAACTAGATTTTTAGATTGTTTTTTTTTGGTACTGTTGGAGGTACTCCAATAAATGCAAAGTAACGGGTGGACAAAACATAAACGTTATAGTTACAATAATACATGAACGGAAGGCGTGCGCCAGAGACTAATAATACAACCCATTGTTGATTGTATGTAAATTTACAGTCCCACCTATTAGCCCACTCATATAATTAATGAGTTCGTCTATGACCCCTTTGTTTGTCTTACAAATTTTATTTGCTCTTGTGGCGTAAGTTAACTAGTAAACTTATAACTCGTTTCTCTTCACTCTCGTCACCTCTCTCTCCCACCACAACATAAAAATTCACTTACAACCTTATACTATATACTTGCTCCGATTACATTATCCACGTGCCTACCTCTACCTAGCAAGTGGTCCACTTCACAAGATCCGTCCCATCCGATGTGATTGGTAGCCTTCTCCGTTTTTTTTACATGTTGTTGTTATATTATAAGGTTTGTTTTAAGTCCAACATTCCTAACTTAACCATCAATTTAAAAAAATTCTATATTGTTTCACAACATATACTAACTATATATTATAAAATTATTTTTCTAGTAAATGTAAAAATATAAATGTTACGATGATGATTAAAGCAGAACTATTTACTGTAGAATGAACGTTAAAAAACAGAGGAAGTACTACAACACGGTCTTTCAAACAAACGCCGCAGAGCAAAGGTTGCGTACGGTTGATTACCAAAGTCATCTCGGAGGCATACGTATACGCGGGGGCAGGCTACTAGTAGCCTGTTCGCTGGTCGCTTGCTCGTAAACGATCGTAAATTTTCGTTAGGAATGATATTTTTCTTTCACACCAAATCAACCAATAGTAAATAATTCACGAGGGCTCCCGAACAAGCTGTTGGCTACTAGGCTACTAGGCTACTGGCGGGTAGTAGGAGTACTATCGTGCCCTTTGGTGCAGAAAAACACGCATCCCAGCCGGGACGAGAGGCGGGTGTGAAATCCGGTGACCCGAGGATTTCCCGCCGCTGCACCGCACCCAGGCTTTTTGATCCCTCCGAATCTTCCGTGCGAGCCCTCCTCTGCTTTCTCCACGCGCGGCATCGCTATCCACTTCGCTGCGCGGCGGGGCCCGAAGAGGTGGGGGCCAGTAGGGACAGGAGCTGCGACCTGCGGGGACGGGTCTTATCCTGGGACGGAGGTGGGCCCCGCGGCAAGGGACAGGTCCGGGTCCGCGGCCCCCCCGGCCGTTCGAACTGAGGCGCGGTGAATTGTTGGGTCCCTCCGGGGATCCTCTGCGCCGAGTTGCTCTCTGTGTCCAGTCGTGTTGCTTCGTGCTAGTGCACTACAGCACTTATAGACCACTAGTATATATACTATTCGTAATTTTGGCTCATCTCTTATGCATTATCATGGGTTAAACAGTTGCATTCGCTGTCTACATGCTTAACATTTAGCTCTAACATTCGTGATGTCGAAACCATACGTTACTTGTAGATATCATATTCTATATAGCATCTCTAGATATAGTGCTTATTGTTTCTATAAATCATTAGAGCAAGAGAAGTATACAAAGAAAACACTTTAGCTAGTTTTCTCTTGTACTCATGGCATAGGTGCACCAACACATATCAGAAAAAGGTAACTAGTACCGATTATAGCAAAGTATGGTAGAAGAAACTACCAGAAGATAAGATGGGGTACAATGCCTAAATTTCATAAATTATATCAATTATAGGACCATGGTTTATTCTCGGAAATGCTTGTCATGCAAAACTTCCACACCAAGTTACCTAGTATTTCATTTAGTACTCAAGGCAATTATAGCTACATATTTCCATGTTGAGTCACAGCAGGCAAAGACGCATGCTCCACAAATATTCTAGTTAAGTGATTGCTCCTCCCCCCCCACCATGCAAATCTATCAATTCTAGGACATATATCAATTCTCAAGTTAATTTACCTAGATGCACCTAACATTTTTAGTGATTCCTTTGGTACTAATCAATGAGAAAGGATGCAACCTTCCCTAGATAACGGCAAGCGCACATGATAATTTCGGATTACATGCATGCATGAGGGACATAACTAATGCTAATATCCCACCCATAAGATACAACGTTACGTTTTATGGGGCAAAATTTAATGCTACTATGATATACTTTTTAAGAAGAGGGAACAAGTTTCTCGATCTGTGTTTGATAAAATAGCTATCTATTTCATGAGCGATTTTAGCTGTCGCCACCAAAGGCCAAGATTTGAAACGCAAGGCGTCATCTTTTGGCGCCATCAACTGATGACACTAATCCACATTTGTTAGGTATTATACGTGAAATATAATCACCTTGTGACTACTAAATGGAATAAAATATGTTAATGTTCAACCATTCCAAATGTGATAGATAGCATGTTGGTAGATCACTTGTGTCTTTGACATCGAGTCGAAGGGGAGAACGTCGACGGTTGTTAATTCGTATTTTTTAAAATAACGTGAGACAAGAGACCGCAATTAACACATGAAAAACTAAAGCGTGGGAGATAAGTTGCCAAAAGATAAGGGATAATAACTCTGGAATTTGGTAATAACAACAAAAAAGACAGGGCCACCGTCCATTTTAGGCAGCATGCTTATTACACACAATAATTTAGGAAAACTCATGAAACTTATGCACCACGAAACTTATCCCGTATTCTAGGCAATTTTTAGATGAAAGAAGCTAGAGCTCCGGTAACAAGACGGTAAATAAACATAGGTGTGCATTCCTATTTTTATCCACATCTACAATGAGTGCTCCGCAAGACTTGCGGTTGATGAGTAGTCTGCCGCCCTGCTCGTTTGGGCTTGTTTGGCTTATAAGCCATAACTGAAAGTACTTGTTGGCTGATTTGGTGTGAGAGAAAAATACTGTTCGTTGGCTGATAAGCCATGGCTTATAAGCCGAATACAACCGAGCGAACAGGCTGTGCATTTCCTTTCACATACGAAGGAGCCCAGTAGGTACCAGTTCCAGAGAAAAAAAAATAGTAGTCCAGCCACTACCAATGGTCACAAAAGAAGATGCTCTGAATATCGACTTTTAATACTCCAATTTGCAATAAAAACCGAACGGTCAATCCTGAACTGTTAGAGGAACATACGAATCTTCCATACTGGTGCACAGAGACTGAGCAAATAAAGCATGGGTTGAAAGTGCTGTTGTCAGCCAAAGACAGCAATTAAAATGAGAAAAGCATCCTAATGCAAGCAGCGACTCAGAGAAGATGAACCATCCATCTATAGCTGCAGCTATCTCTCCGGCGCAACGCAAACAAGCCCACGCCCGAGGCCGCCGATGGATCGATGCCTTGTCCTAACCAACTCAGCCCAAAGCCGTCGCCTCCCCCAACTCCCACCGCCCAAATTTAAACCCACCTCCCACCAGTGCACCGCTCTCTCCCCTGGATCCCACTGCGGTGCTGGTCCCACCCGTGTCTTCAGTAACTGACAGGGAAGCCCGCATAGACGTGGGTCACATCTCGTCAGTTTCAGGTGGTAGCACCATGCCCCGGGGCCGCCGCACGCGCCGCGGTCCCGTGCTCCGCGGTTGCGGTCACCGGGCGTCACCGCGGGGTCCGGTATAAAGGGCGTTCCCCCCGAGTCTCGCCGCCCGCATTTGGGTAGGTAGTTGCTGTTCTCCCCTGTCCCTGAGGCCCGCGTCTCCGCTTCGTCTCATCACCCACCACCTCCTCCTCGCCGGGGACCCCTCGCCGGAGCCAGCAAAGCTTCCGGCGAAGAAATCCGGCGGGCACACCACAAGGGGGCGGAGCAAGGGGACGGGGGCGAGCGCCGGAATGGGGGCCAGCGGCCGGGTCTCGCCGTCGTCGTCGCTGGTGTCGCGTCGCTCTAGGGTTAGGTAGGTGTCCGTAGCTTTCTCCTTCGCTCCCGCGGCCAGGGCTGCGCAGCCCCGGCGTCGCATTGGGGTCCCCTGCCGACCGTCAGGCCGTGTGATCCACCCGTGCTCGAGCTCCGCGAGGGTCCCGGTTGCGTGGCATGGGGGCATCTCTTCCGCCTGCTGCCGCTGCCCGCGAATTCGGCACCGTTTTTGAGCTCTGAGGAGGAGGAGGTGTCAGCAGGCGCCGATCTGGTGAGCCCCCACTCGCTTCCCGTTGCTGGTTTTTTTTTTCTCGGGGATGTTTCAATTTCGGGAATTTTTGGAAGCTCTCCTCGTATCCTTGCTTGTTTTGTTTTGTGGGTGTCCTTTGCATGCTGTATGTGATCTGAGCTTGAATTCGGGGGCTGACAATTAATTTCGGCTGTGCTCCGCGGAATTCCTCGTTTTGTTTTGATGGTTACCTTTGATCACAAGGGACTTGCTTGTTTGGAGCTCGTAGAGCCCGAGGCGCATTAAATTCCACATCTTCTGTGCTGTTTTATTGGGGGAATTAAACATTTCTCTCACAAGTTTTGTGGGATTCGCACTCGGTTTGTCAAATCTACTGGTTCTGATTCAGAAATGTTGACTTTGGAAGCTCACACGAACTAAATTCCGCTTTTTTCTCTGCCGCCCCTTGGCTCGGTTGTCATGGATGCACAGATTTCTGCGCGTAAAATTGCTCTGATTCGTCATGTTTACCCCCTCGACGCTTCATTTTTTCCGCAAAATTCTCAATTTTGCCTTGATCCCGGGCAGTTGAGGTACGGTGCTGTTGTCAAGGTTTGTGCCTAACACGTTATTTGGTCTGGACGCCTGCAGGATGCCATCTCAAGTCATGGATCCGAGGAGCCACCACCCCCAGTTCAGCAATCCAACCGTGGCTGCGTCCTCCTTCTCTGAGGAGCAGCTTCGCCTTCCCACAGAGGTAATAATCTGCAATTGCAGAACTGTTGCCCCAGTTATTGTTTTTCTGTTTTTTTTAGTTTATTTATGCGAAGGCCAGTGATGTCTTTATTGTTTTAGTCCATGTTTGACACCTATCATTTGTCACTTGATCATCTTTCTTGAGTCTTGACTATGGCATGCACTATTTTTTTTATATCTTTGCAGAGGCAGGTCGGATTTTGGAAGCAGGAGTCGTTGCATCACATTGGTGAGTACCGAATTTGATTCAATCTCCCTTAGCTTTTTGCTCATTTCCATGCAAAGGATGCCTTTTGGCTGCAAAAATTCATGTGTTATTGGGGGGCATTTTGTGCATTTAATGAGTCACAACATTTTATGCATGACTAGGCCCTGTTCGCTTTGCTGAAAAGCCATGGCTGAAAGTACTGGTCGCTGATTTGTTGCGAGAGAAAAACACTGTTCGTTCGCTGAAATAGTACGGCTCAGAAGACAAGCGAACAGGGCCTAAATAACATAAATAATTTGTTTTCATGGGATGAATATGATTTTAGCTTACCCTAACTTCAAGGCTTTGTATTTGTTGTCGTGGTGGTGGACATGATTTATTGCACTTTTCATTTGTTGTTTCTGTAGTTAGGTGAAGCCATTGTTTTGTGTTCACCTTGTTTTGCAAAGGATTTTTGACATATTTGATGTCCAGATTATCCTTTGATAAACAATCGGTTGCTGCTAGTTTCTACCTTATTACTTTTTATTTCTTTGGTGCTCGTGTCATACTCTCTCTTTGTTATCACAATGCCTCATGCATTTTGTTGTTCATTATCAAGATGTCTTCTCAAAACAAGATGTTTCTATTGTTGTCAGGAAGCAAGTCAGTTGCATCTTCTCCAATTGAAAAGCCCCAACCCATTGGGACAAAAACTGTGGCTCGGATAGATCCACAACCATACAAGCTGAGAGACCAGAAGACTGCATTTAGCCTTGAGCACAAGACTTTTGGTCAAGAGAGACATGTTAACTTGCCATCATCACTGTGGAGAGCTGATCAAGACCGTAACCTCCAATCTGATTCATCTTTATTTCCCGATGGAAGGACTAATCCAAATGAGGCCTACAATGAGAATGGGCTTTTCTCAAGCTCCCTGTCAGAAATTTTTGACAGAAAATGTGAGACAGTTTACTCTGGCACTTTCATCATCTTAATTAGAGCAATTGATTGTACTGTACAGTGAGCCTGAACCATGTGAACCATTCTCTTCATCATAGAAAATGCATTGAACTGTATCACATATTCCATAGCATGTATTGAGTATGGGTGCACCTTGAAATCAATAGAAAGGAATAAAAAGTACAACAAAGGATATCAGTGAGTTTGAAAGGAAGAACAAATAAAAAAACTTTCATCTTTTTTTTTAGCATTTTTGCATCGTATTTTCGAAGGAATCTACCTGCTTTAATTTTCTTTGGCCTAAGAATCCTTTCACTTTAGTTTGGTATCGTTATCCTTTTATTTTCAGTCACATCTTTTGCAAGATTTGTGCAGTCAGACACTCCAATTAAATCATTGCTATTGTAGTAAGCAATATATTGTTCCTATTTATTGCTTCCTAACCAGTTTTATGCTTCAATCTGTAGTGGGACTGAGATCCAAGGATGTGCTTCTTCGTCAGCCAGTTGAAAAGGTTGTTCCAACTCATGTAGATGATGAACCCTTTGAGTTAACGGAGGAAATCGAAGCGCAAATAATAGGAAACATACTTCCTGATGATGATGACCTACTATCAGGTGTTCTTGATGTTGGGTACACAGCCCATGCTAACAATGGTGATGATGTCGATGATGATATATTCTACACTGGAGGCGGGATGGAACTGGAAACCGATGAAAATAAAAAAAATACAGAAACTAATGGTGGAGCTAATGATGGTCTTGGGTCGCTTAATGGCACAATGAATGGTGAACATCCATATGGGGAACACCCTTCAAGAACTCTTTTCGTCCGAAACATTAATAGCAATGTTGAGGATTCTGAATTAAGGCTCCTATTTGAGGCATGTTGCTTTTTACCGTTTTCTGCTCAAACCTATTGTTTTTGTACAGAACATTTGTTTCTGAAAATCATTTACTCTTTACCCACAGCATTATGGAGAAATCAGCAACCTTTACACTGCCTGCAAACATCGTGGTTTTGTGATGATATCTTACTATGACATAAGATCAGCATGGAATGCCATGAGGGCACTTCAAAACAAGCCACTCAGACGTAGAAAACTTGACATACATTACTCCATTCCGAAGGTATTCACAACTCTATGTCTTACTGGCTTGATTTGTAGACATGTTTTGCCCAAGGATGCCAGTGTGTATGTAGTTTGCAGTTTTTAGTCTTGTGTAGTGCTTGTGCTAATTGTCACCTTTTTTCCCTTTAGGACAATCCTTCGGAGAAGGATATTAACCAGGGGATGCTTGTTGTATTTAATGTTGACCCGTCTGTAACAAATAATGATATCCATCAGATATTTAGCGACTATGGTGAAATAAAAGAGGTATGCTATGCTCTTACATTAACTACCTACTACTCCATTATAACTAGGACTATAATGTCTTAAATTAATTGCAGATTCGTGATGCACCGCAAAAGGGCCATCTCAAAATTATAGAATTTTATGATGTCAGAGCAGCCGAAGGTGCAGTTCGTGCTTTAAACAGGAGTGATCTTGCTGGCAAGAAAATAAAATTGGAGACTGGCCGTCTGAGTGCTGCTAGACGGTATGTATTTCAAATGTTAATCTTGCTGTCCATTCTCGTATTTCATCAGCAATACTTCCTTCATTACTTTTGGACACTCCGTATTTACAGCCTGTTCGTTTGGCTGTGGCTTATCGTAAACGATCGTAAATTTCCAGCCGGAACAGTATTTTTCTCTCACACAAACCAGCCAGCAATACTTCTTCACGAACCAGCAACGAAACGAACCAGCCAACCGAACAGGCTGTTAATCGTTGATCATTTGATCACAGCTTTAGTGAACCTTAGGCTATTCTTTAGCAAGCTGAATGATTCTTGCTTAGGCATCACTGGTATATAGTGGCATCACTTATTCTATATGACGGTACCTGTGGATAGTATGCACATTAGTTATATGCTCTGGATTTTTATATTCTTTTCTCAAGTGGAAAATCTCTTCCTGGAGCTGTAAACATTGCACTGTTTTTATTTGTCATGTATAGATAGTTACTTAATCTTTGTTTGTTTATTTCTGTGTATGGGCTCTCATGTCCTAAACAAAACATATTTTTGTTTGTTCTTTCATATGGTATTCCTAATTCTTTGTATCGTATTTAGGTGTATTGATATATACTTAGTATGTTAGTTATTTAATTCATCCAGAAAAAGAGCAATTATTATGTGATGCATCCTTCTGATTTTGATTCTATGGTACAAACTTTTGAACGTGGTGGTGTAAACACATAGGTTTTATTCACTGCTCTAACATTGATTTTAATGTTGTTTTATAACAGTTTAACACAGCACATGTCCAAAGAGTTGGGGCAGGAAGAATTTGGTGTATGCAAACTGGGCAGTCCAAGCACAAATAGCCCTCCATTGGCTTCATTGGGTATGATGTTTATTTTTTCATCTTTATTGTATGTCATGTCAATAGCTGCATTTCCTGACATGGAGGATTATTCTTTAAGGTTCATCTAATATGGCAGCAATGACATCTTCTGGCCGTGAAAATGGGAGTATTCATGGTTTGCATTCTGGACTTCTCACATCAATGACCCCGTTCAGAGAGGCTTCTTTTCCGGGTCTATCGTCTACCATACCACAGAGCCTGTCCTCTCCCATTGGAATTGCATCTGCTGCAACTCATAGTAATCAGGCTTCCCTTGGTGAGCTCAGCCACTCACTTAGTCGGATGAATGGGCATATGAATTATGGTTTTCAAGGCATGGGCACTCTTCATCCGCATTCCCTTCCTGAAGTTCACAATGGAGCAAATAACGGCACCCCTTACAATCTTAACACGATGGCACCAGTTGGTGTCAATAGCAACTCGAGAACAGCTGAAGCAGTTGACAGCAGACATCTTCATAAAGTGGGTTCTGGTAACCTCATTGGGCACTCATTTGATCGTGCCGGTGAAGGAGGTTAGTTTGTAAATTTGGACATCCTAATCTCCATTTTTATTTTTGACCCTATTCTCTCTCATTTCCATTCCTTAAGCATGTGTTTTCTAATAAAGCTGTTTGGTTTATCAGGATTGTGACAGCTAACTGTCAAAAGTTGATCAATTAATGTATGTTATTTAACTGTTCCCTGCATGACTTCATGTGTACCAATTTTTGCAGCTATGGGATTTTCAAGAAGTGGAAGCGGTCCTGTCCGTGGTCACCAGTTAATGTGGAATAATTCAAATAACTTCCACCGTCCTCCCAATTCCCCTGTGCTGTGGCAAAATCCGGGATCATTTGTAAATAATGTACCGTCTCGCTCCCCAGCACAAATGCATGGAGTTCCAAGAGCACCATCACACATGATTGAGAATGTTCTTCCAATGCATCATCATCACGTGGGCTCTGCGCCAACAATCAATCCGTCACTTTGGGACAGGCGGCATGGCTATGCAGGGGAATTGACAGAAGCATCAAGTTTTCATCCTGGCAGTGTTGGGAGCATGGGATTTCCTGGTAGCCCTCAGCTTCATGGTTTGGAGCTAAATAGCATATTTTCTCACACTGGTGGGAATCGCATGGATCCAACCGTGTCTTCAGCTCAGATCAGCGCACCATCTCCTCAACAAAGAGGTCCTATGTTCCATGGAAGGAATCCTATGGTTCCCCTTTCATCATTTGATTCACCTGGTGAGCGGATGAGAAGCCGGAGAAATGACTCAGGTGCTAACCAATCTGATAATAAACGGCAGTACGAGCTTGATGTTGACCGCATAATGCGGGGGGAAGACTCACGAACTACACTGATGATAAAGAATATCCCAAATAAGTATGTTTTGAGATCACCCAATTTTATGCTACATTTATGTTCTGTCTCAATAATATATATTTTTTTTGTTCTGGTTGTCTCTTTCTGGTTCCAGGTATACCTCCAAGATGCTCTTGGCTGCTATTGATGAAAGTCATAAGGGCACTTATGATTTTATTTACTTGCCGATTGATTTTAAGGTAGTTTGAATTTAACTCGTAAGCGACCGGTGCCTCGTATTTGTTGGGACTGTACTTGTCTGTTCATGTTACTAAATGAAATCAATCTCCTTTTCAGAATAAATGTAATGTTGGCTATGCTTTCATCAACATGACCAATCCTCAGCATATCATCCCGTTTTATCAGGTGAGAAAATTATTCAGTTGACGAAGTGCTACTGCATTGATGCAATTATGGCTATTTTGGCCTTTGATCAACTTGTATGGCTTGCCAAATTCGTACTTTGATAAACTATCCAGCTTGAACATTGATGTGCTATCCTGAACCATTTTGTCATCCTTTTCAGACTTTTAATGGTAAAAAGTGGGAGAAGTTTAACAGTGAGAAGGTGGCATCACTTGCTTATGCCAGAATCCAAGGGAAAACAGCCCTGATTGCTCATTTCCAGAACTCTAGTTTGATGAATGAGGACAAACGCTGCCGCCCCATACTCTTCCACTCAGAAGGTCCTAATGCAGGAGATCAGGTATGCTTGTCTTTTTTTTTTTCCCTGGGTAGTTTCCCTGCTATCTTGTTCTCCAGTAGTCCAGTTACATTATGTATCGCTGCCCTGTGACAAGTCTTCTCTATATCATCTTAGTCTTTGTGCAAAAAACAGGTGTGAGGTAAATTTACACCTGCCATTTTTGCTGCATTAACTGCCCTGTGACAAGTCTTCCTATAGTCATCCATATATTCCTTGAATCCTTGATGGGCTGATGGCAGCTAAAAACATAGGTTTTGTGCAAATAAAAAGGTGGGAGTTAAATGCCCACCTGCCATTTTTGCTGCTTAACTGCCTAACTAGTAATGAGTCCACAATTATAGAAAATGTAACGTCTGTGGATACCTTTTTTCATCTGCACTTTCATACTGTGCACCAATGAACTAAGATACATACATTTCACAAGTGGGGTAACATTCTTTGAACACTGTATCATTCTCACTGTTTTCAAAGCAAGTTTGGTACATAGTTTGCAATCGTACCATACTTATATGGTCCCAGTGTCTGCTTAATAATTTCAGAACTTGCTCTATTATTGTGCCTGCAGTGTTTTTAAGCATATGGTTGCAATTTTGACATTTTGTTGTGATCTTTCTCAGGAACCTTTCCCTATGGGTACAAACATCCGAGCCAGGTCTGGGAGATCCCGGACTTCCTCCGGTGAAGAAAATCACCATGATATCCTGACAGTCTTGACCAACGGTGACACTTCTTCCAATGGAGCTGACGCTTCAGGTCCTACCAAGGACACTGAGTAGCTTGCTGCATCGCTAACCACAAAGGCCCAAGCTATAACTTTTTGCAAACCCATTTTCAGTCCTAGTTTTCCCCCCTTTCCCATTTTGGTTTTGTTTGGTAAGTCTCCCGATCTGTATTTATTAACTTCCATGATGCGGGTCACCGAAGACTTAGGTTGCTGCAAAATTTTTGTCTCTGGCGAGAAGCTATATGCAAGAGGGTGCTACCGAGTTCCCCAGAATCTATGTGCTTGTTAACCTGAAGGCCGAGAAAGGTGAAAGGCGCAGGGAGAGCCTCCAGATTTTGGTCGCTGTAAGAATTAACCCCATGTTGTACAGCAGGTCCCAGTAACTTGTGCTGAGGGGAGAGTGAAGGAGTCATTGTCATCAGTTTTTAGTGGTGGTGTGTGTGGAGAAGAAGAGTCTTGCCTGCATTTTCTTTTGGAACCTTCTCTTGTGCCTTCACCTGTGTTGCATTTTGAGTCGAGGGCTTCTCTTAAATTGTGTGCAGAGGGGCTCGATTTTATTAACCGGAACAAGGCGCATTTGCTTCTGGATCAACCCCGGTCTTGTTTTCAGGGCACTGTCGCCGTATTTATCAACCTTATGTACATCTCCATCTATATATAGTATGAATTTTGATGTCTATCTATTTTGTGGCTTTCGTCTCACAAGGTTATTTATCTATATCAACGCGTCTGTTATGCTTGCGGTGTGTGTAAAACCTTTATGAACCTTGTGCTTGGTTGCTTACTATGTAAGCATGAATGCAAGCTCTTTGAGTGCGTAATCCTTGTTCAAATCCTTTCAAGAGTATAGTAGAATATAAGTGTTTGACTGTTTTCTTTCTCCACGTGATGGGTCTGTTCGTCTGGCTGCCAATGGACCCATAACCGAGGGTAATTCTCTATTGTTCCTAATATACTCCTGTTTTACCATATTTGACCACGCCTCGGGGCAATACTTTCACAATACTAGTTTAAAAAAAAAACTTTCACAATACTATTTTATCCTCTTTTTTTTGCGATCGTCAAAGAGAGAACTTTATTTATCACCGAGGAATAGAATTGCAATATTGAGTATGCAGGGGCTGAGCTTCAGCTAGGCCAAAGAGGACATGGCCCCTCAATCTCCGTACTTTTTGAGTTTATCTTGGCCCCCTTCTACATTAGTCACCAAGCTCCGTCACTAGATGTATGTTTTGCCATTGCAGCTCGTCAGCGACCTTATTTTGTCCTCTCCCTATATAGTCTAGAATTTCACATCCGACAACGCTCACTAAGCTCGCAACACCCCTTCAACAGATACATAAGACGGGATCTCTGTTGTATGAGTTTTGAGCGCGTATGAGTTATATGTAGTCCGGCTTCACAATTGCCTTGCGCAGTCTTTTGCTAAGCCCAATCCCTCCTGCAAGCCAAAGCTCAACCCCTTCTGCGTTCGTGGCAACGACATGTCCAATATCATCCCTGATGATCACGCTAATCCCTACTCACCTTGACTCTTGCTCGAAAGCACCATCAGTATTTACCTTAACCCAGCCTGTTCGGGCTGCTTTTTCAGACAGCCATGCAGCTGCATATTTTCACTGTTAGTACGGTGTTTTGTGAGATTCATCGTCAGCAGCACTGTAAAGACTAGCAGCTGAACAGTAGGTTTCACCTCATAGCCAAGGATGATCTGACAATAGGTTTCTTCCCGTTCCCCTCTCTCGGTTAGGCTGTAATAAGCAGTTCATGACAGTAATGCTCCAGGAAATTCACCGAAGCTGGGCACCCATCCTGTTCGCTTGAACTTATCAGCCTGGCTTATCAGTCATGGTACAGTATTTTTCTCTCACAACAAATCAGCTTATCAGCCATGGTACATTATTTTTCTCTCACAACAAATCAGCCAATGGTACTTTTGAGCCTGACTTTTCACATGCTCACGGGCTAACAAGTTGGATAAATATGGATGCTCACGGGCTAACAAGAGAATGAAATGCTGGCATTGCAGCGGTGTTCGTCGCATCCAACTCTTGACTCGACGTGTTTGCTTCTGTGGCGCCGCTAACTGTGACTAGTGTTGATGGATCATCAAGAGTTACTGCACTTTGATACTCTTCCCATGTTTGTTTAAGTCCATGGGTGCTGTGCGTTGTTTGTAAGCAAATGCAGTCCGAAAGGATCAAGATGCTTAAGAGAAAAGATGAATTGAACTAATTCTAAAATTCTTTGCAATAATTAAACCCTACACTTATCCCACTTCACCCCTTTTGCCTAGAATGCATAGGCGGAGCTAGCTAGGTGGCACGTTGTGCCATGGACCACCATAGAATATGGATTAATGTTAAAACTACAGTATATATGTTCTATAATATAATGAATATTGTATTTAGAACACTATTATTTGGCTCATTATATTTAGTTGGACCACCCTTGCATTAAACCCTAGCTACGCCACTGCTAGAATGTGTTCCTATTGATCTACCGCTCAAAAGTTTTACACCCTAGGTTCCAATCCTACTCTATCATGACAATTCTAAGAATGTAAAGACAAGAATTGAATTGCTCAAATGTAAATGCTTAAAATAAAGAGAGGAGAAGGAACGCGGTGATGTTTTGCCGAGGTATCAGAGAGTCGCCACTCCCCACTAGTCCTCGTTGGAGCACCAGCGCAAGGGTGTAACTCTCCCTTAATCTGTGCAAGGATCAAGTGCTCTCTACGGACTGATTCTTCGACACTCCGTCGCGGTAAATCGGCCACAACCGCTCACAATTTGAGTTGGGTCAGGCACAAGCTCCGCCGGATGATCACCAAACTCCTGATCACCATCAAGCCGTCTAGGTGATGGCGATCACCAAGAGTAATAAGCACGAACTCTCACTTGACCACAACAAGCCTAATGAGAAGGGTGGATGTACACTTGCTACTCTCCTTGCACTAATGAGACCTTAATCTTGGATTCTCAAATCTCAATCACCTCACTAGGCTCTTGCTCTCCAAAGCACTCTCAAGGATGTTTCTCAGCTGATCAAATGGGCAAGAAACCTCCTTTGGATGAATAGAGAAAGTATTTATATCCCCTCATTCAAAACGAACCGTTAGGAGGTTGCATCAGCGTTCAAGGTGACTGGACGCTCCGGTCAGTTATCCCCGCCATAGAGCCGTTAAGTTGTGACCGAACACAAACCTGCGTCCGGTCAGCATTGACCGGACGCATCCGGTCACGAAAACTGCTCTCTGGAACCTTACTGATGTTGATCGAACGCTGGCGTCCAGAGTCCGGTCACTTCACTGTTTAGCATCCGGCCAGTAACCGGATCCTGACTAGCATCCGGTCAGCACTGACCGGACACGTCCGATCAGGAAACTCCCTCTCTCTGGAACCTCTCTAGAGTTGACCGAACTATAGCACCCAGCGTCCGGTCACCTTTCACTCAGCGTCCGGTCGCAACCAGACGGCTCCAGTTGATCAAATAAACTGACCGGACTCACCCTTCAGCGTCCGGTCACAACCAGATCAGCGTCCGGTCAGTCATTTGACCCTCTATTCACTTTCAACTCGAAATTATATGTGAATGAAGTTTGCTCTAATTGATCTTAGGGCTACTCCTGAGCTACCTAGTGCTAGATTTGACAAGTGTGAAGCACACCTAACCCAATAGACTCACCTAGGTCAAGCTACTAGTCCATACCCCCTTAATAGTACGGTCAAAGGAAAAACAAAGTCCTAAACTACTCTAAGTGTCTCTTCAACACCAAATGACACTTAGAACTAGTCCATCCTTAACCTTGTCGTCTATCCTTTGAAAACCGAAACGATTTCCATCGTAGAGGCATGACAACCATGATTGCCCAATCAATTGCCATTACCATGACCTAACTTAATTGTCTCTGCAAAACACACATTAGTCATAGTAATCACGTATTGTCATTAATCACCGAAACCCAACTAGGGGCCTAGATGCTTTTAATCTCCCCTTTTTGGTGATTGATGACAATACAACCTTGAGTATGTAAAAGAGATGAGGTTTTCAACATGCTTGGTTCATATAAGCTTTTGACAATAAGAACAAAAGAGTTAGGCATGCTTATATGACCCAAGCCAACATGATGTACTCAATAGATATGAAATAAGCATGAGTACAAGAAATAAATCTCATTTGAATCGAAGTAAAACGCGGAAGCAAACCAAATGAGCATAATGAAGTGACATGACATATATAAAGATCAAAGTAGAGAGCACACATGTCACATATCACATAAGTATCACACATATCACATAAATATCACAATCACACGTATGTAGTTCAATGCATGAAAATAAACATGAATGCATAGTAATGTATCACACATAAAAAGCCAAAAGTAATAAATCATAAGCTCCCCAAGATATATTGCTCCCCCTAGGTCTAACATACTCGATCCCTCTCCCCCTTTGGCGTCAAGCACCAAAACCTAAGGGTTGGTCGGCGGGGTAGGATCAGACGAGTCGGGCGCTGAGGTGCGGTGAGCGATCTAAAACTGTGTAGCATCATCCTCTGATCCGGAGTTCTGAGCTGTCTAACCCTCTGTCGCTAGAAGTAAAGCTAAAGCGGTTTTGGGTCTGCTGTGGGACTGGTGTGGCCTGTGACTCTGCAGGTACAACTGTAGCAGCTGGCTCTGATGATGCGACATAAGAAGGGAGCGTCTCTGTAGTCCTAGTAACTGGAGCGACTCTGGAAGGAGCAGGGACACGTAGCTCTAGCGGTGTAGGCTGCCCTGTCAACTCACTGAATGTGGCACCAAGGCTCCTAGAAACTGGGGTGTCAGTCACAAGCACTGAGGAGCTCTGAGCCGGTGCAAAGCCTGTGACAATAGGTGTGAAGGAAGGACCCTAGGCTGTCACTGGTGAAGCAAACCACTAGAACACCTGCTCTGTCGGTGAAGCAAACTATGTAGCTAGCTGTCCCTAACTCTAAAGCCCACTGGGTTGTAAAGCTGGAGTCACTGTAGTGGTAACAGGCTGCCCGATCTAAGGTGCAAACTGAGGCGGT